TTCAAGGATGGTTGAAGCCAAGCATGCCACAAGATGTCTAGGAAATGAACTGAAACTATTTCTCCTTGTTGGCAGGTGTGCGTCCACCGCAACATCGTCTACCCTCTTGGCACGACCTGGGAAGAAGACTGTAGGGAATGTTCTTGCACCAACATGAAAGATGCAGTTACAGGACTCCAAATTACAGAATGTCTCGAGAAAAGATGCAGTATGTCCTGCCCAGCGGTACGTAAAGTTCCCAAATATTGTTTAGAATAGAATAAATATTTTTTTTTATCTAGTTGGATTCTTCCAGGGGAAAGAATCAAGGGGGAAACACAAGGACAACCTTGGCTGGTCTTCAAAGAATGGTTTAGTCCTTGAAGACCAGCAAATCCTAGGGAAAAGAATACTGGCAGTCCTTGACTTATGACCACAATTGAGCCCAAACTTCATATTGATAAGCGAGACTTTTGTTCAGTGAGTTTTGCCCCATTTTATGACCTTTCCTGCCACCATTGTTAAGTGAATCACTGCAGTAGTTAAATTAGTAACACGGTTGTTAAGGGAATCTGTCTACCCCGTTGACTTTGCTTGTCCGAAGGTCTCAAAAGGAGATCTCGTGATCCCCAGCATCCGTCATAAATACGAGTCATTTGCCAAGTGACTGAATTTTGATCACGTGATGTGAAAAATGGTCCTAAGTCACTTTTTTCAGCGCCATTGTAACTTCTATCGGTCACTAAATGAACTGTTGTAAGTTGAGGACTACCTGTACTGTACTGTAGTTGCTACGAAGTCATAGCCATGAAGTTAGCTCCTAGGAGACTTAACTTTTACTTACCTCATGTCTCCTCTTCTAATCGAGTTCTGCCTTAAACAAGCAGTATTTTTTCTTCATTTAAATAAAAAGAAATGAAATCAGTTTATTACAGCCTGAAGGCCAGACAGCAATAGCGCTTAGACTTATATATCGCTTGACAGTGCTTTTACAGCCCTCTCTAGGAGGTTTACAGACTCAGCCTATTGCCCCCAATAAGCTGGGTCCTCATTTTACTGACCTCGGAAGGACGGAAGGCTGAGTCAACCTTGAGGTGGTGAAGATCAAACTCCAGGCTGTGGGCAGAGTTAGCCTGTAATACTGCATTCTAACCACTGTGCCACCAGGAAGAAAAATAAGAAAGGAATGAGGGAGGGAGGGAGGGAGGGAGGGAGGGAAAGAAAGAAAGAAGGAAGGAAGGAAGGAAGGAAGGAAGGAAGGAAGGAAGGAAGGAAGGAAGGAAGGAAGGAAGGGCAATAGCAGAGTTATATACCACTTCACAGTGCTTTTTCAGCCCTCTCTAAGTGATTTATAGAGTCAGCCTCTTGCCCCCAACAATCTGGGTCCTCATTTTACCAACTTTGGATGAATGGGAGAATGAGTCAACCTTGAGCCGGTCAGGATTGAACTGCTAGCAGTGAGCAGAGTTAGCCTTCAATACTGCTTTCTAACCACTGGACCACCGCATATACAATAAAATATCTAACATATATACAGACAGACAGACACATACTGTAAGTATAATAGGACCCAAAAATAATTAAGAATGTTTTACATATAGTAAAAGAAAATGGAATCACAAGAATATTTATAAGAAGCGATAAGTAAATGAGCATCCAGATTTAATTAATTGCGAGGCACATGGTCCAGATGGGTAGGACAAAACTGATTGACTTGAGAACATATTTTTGACTCCTTGTCGAAAAATAGTAGCTTTCAGTTTGGAAAAATAATAGTCCAGAGAGATTTCACTGGTATGGACTCTCTTCACCCTGTGAGAAATCTTTCTCTACAAGATGGAGTTTAAGGAATAATGAAACACTTGCATGAATAAAACGGTTAAGAAGTGTTACCTCAGGTGCTGAGGTAGCTTCACTTCATTTTCTAGAAGCTTCTAAGAAGTGAAGATACAGGAGATGGCGACACCCAAAATAAAGTGTTTTAATAAGGTGACCAATCATCCTCCTTTAAGGAGGACAGTCCTTCTTTTGTAAGTTCTGTCCTCTCTCGAAAAGTGTCCTCATACACATCCTCCTTTTTGATATTTGAAGACTAATCTGTAAATCTCCGTATTTGATCAATTCCGATCCGATCCATTGTGTGTGATGTGATGTATTTGTATTTGACATGATGATTCATCAAGGCTCGGTACAGCGCACCCATAGTTTGGAATTTTGTTCCGGTGAGCTGGGATTTAAATTCAGTTGGTGGGAAACAGAAAGCTAAGATTTCATTGATTTGCATTATCCTAAAAATATCACCTTTTATCAATTAACACTTTAAAAAAAAGTTTTTTAGCTCTAGAAAGGTGATGAAATCCTGCTAAAGTAGATTTCTCATAGATTCTGTCTTTAAACCGGTGAAGTTCCTCAGTTCTGGGAGCGGTTCCTATTTGATAATGTGGGTAGTCCTGGACTTGCGACCACAACTCAGCCCAAGATTTATGTTGCTAAGGGAGAAACTTGTAAAGTGAGCTGTGCCCCATTTTAGGATTTTCCTTGCCACATTTGTTAAGGGAATTGCTGCAGCTGTTCAACTACTAAGACGGTCATTAAGTGAATCTGGCTTCCTGATTGACTTTGCTTGTCAGAAGGTCGCAAAAGGGGGACCCCGGGACATTGCAACCATCATAAATGTGAGTCAATTGTCAAGCATCCAAATGTAAAACATATGACCCTGAGGATGCTGCAGTGGTCGTAAGTGTAAACAACGGGCATGTTGTTGTTTTCTTTTTTTTTCAAACGCTCACAAAATGAACTGTTGTAAATTGAGGACTCCTATTACAGGGGTGGGCTTATAATTTTTTAGCAACGGGTACTCTGCCCGGTTGCTGGGTGGGCGTGGCCATGGTAGGCGTGGCCTAGTCAGCCTCCTGCACCATGGCCGGAGGGGGGCGCGTTTTTGCCTTGAGCCTCCGGGAGGGCAAAAATGGCCTCCCCCGGGCTCCGGAGGCTCTATGGAAGCTGGAAATGGGCCCATTTCTGGCCTTCCCAAACTTCCAGGAGGCCCATTTTTCACCCTCCCTGAGCCTCTGCACACGCCCTGCACTTACCTGCATCCAAAATGGGCCAGGTGGGAACTCCTGGGAGGGGTGGGCGGGGCCAGCCAGGAGTGGGATTTGGGGGTTCTCCAAACTGCACAGATTCTTAGCTAGGGGCTCTCCTGAACCCCTGCAAACCCCCAGCAGTCCATCTCTTGCTCCTATGTATATACATGCCAGCAGCAGCAGGAGATTTCCCAAATCCTGGATGTGAGAAATTTTCTTCCATAGTTCCTTCTTCTTCTTAGCTTAAATATTTTTCCATGGTTTAATTCCGCATTTCAGACCAAACTGTAGAAAAAGAACTAGACCTGCTTATTTTATCAGCTTTGTCACAAAATACTGCTATACAAAAGGCTATTGGTGAGGTTATAAAATATGATATTAATAGCTTGACTGAAAATAATAAAAAAAATCCCAATTTTAGTTTGGCTTCTGTCGTATTCAAGGCCAATTGCCAGTTACAATTGTGTGTGTGTATATATGTGTCAGAGAGAGAACTAGAGAGAGAGCAAACGAGAGAAAAGATCCAGCAGGTAGTTTTAAAAAAAATGTTCATTTGCACTATTTTTTTTAATTTTTGCTTAGGAGGGAATTTTGGATACACTGCCCCAACCAAATGTAATTGCTTTTTAATAGGAATTGATACCTAAAAAGGTTAAATGTTTTGTTTGAGCAATGAGAGGCTGAACCAGAGCATGAGTGCAACAATACTTTATTTTACAATAAAGGGCTGACCGTGCTTGCCAAGCCTGGAACTGGCTCGCAGCAATCAGCAACCGGTTGGACCCCGCAGCCTGCTTTTATAGCTGGCTGCTGGGGAGAGCCAACCAATGGGAATGGGGGAATAACGCCCACGTAAAGTGAGTGGACCTGAGTGAGAACTCCTTGAGTCCTCAGGACATAACATTAAATCATGGCAATTGGGCGTGGCGTAGCTTGGTGGCCATGGCTTGGTGGGCGTGGCAGGGGAAGGATACTGCAAAATCTCCATTCTCTCCCCACTCCTGGGAAAAGGTTACTGCAAAATCCTACTCCCTCCCCACCTCTCTGACCTGCTTTCCAGCTCCGTTCTCCTGTGCAGGGCAACCAAAGAAGACCCAGCCGATCAGCTGGGACTCAATGGGAGGCAGAGAATAGAGGGGGGCGGGGCCAGTCAGAGGTGGGATTTGCCGGTTCTCCAAACAACTCAAAATTTCTGCTACTGGTTCTCCAGAACTTCTTCAGAACTTGCTGAATACCACCTCTGTAGACCTGTTTCACCTTTCCTAGGCCCACTTACATTCTGAAATCTACCCGGTTCCAGGATCTTGCAAAGCAGTTTTGCAACTAGGTTGCTTGCACATGATGTAACTAGATCATTTACGCAACACATAATGGACATACCACAGCGTTCAATCTTCCTGCAATTTTTGGAGGTGGAGCGGTGGGACAAAGACAAGCAGCACAGATGTCTAGAATCAGCGACTAATTTGCAATGTGGAAAATCAACAGTTGGACAAAATTGTCACTCACAGCTTTGCGTGAAAGCTGGAGCAAGGTTTTTGATATTGCAACTGATAAAATACAACCCACCAAAAATAGTTCTTTTCCTGGATTTCAGGAATACCCATTTTTAATCCTATTCCACCGACCAATAACTGTGCAACATGGGGAAGTCACAAACCTTGTCTCTTTGGTGAGACGGATTGTAAAATCTGAGCACAATCCGTGATATTTCATGCTGACAGTTTTCTTTTGAAGTAGCAAAGTTTGTTCTTCCCCATGTGGTCAACATGAACGCAAAAGGCCTTATTATTAGAATCCATAAAAATTTCAGGAAGATTGGACTTTTAAGGGCTTATGAAAATACTATTTTTAAAGCCCATATTTCAAGATGCTGTAAGCTTTCAAACATGAAACAGTAAGCATTGCGACTGTTATGAAATATAGCTGCCATGTCCAATGGTTGGGAGTACATGCCGTGACAAACGGCTCCGTGTTGCTATGTCCACATTGGAGAAGGGAGAAATATTGACCAGATGAGGGCTTGATAGTCGCTTGTGAGGTATATTTTTTGATCTGAAGTTTGATGATCTTATTTTGGCATAAAAATGATCTTAGCTTTTGTTCCTGCCTCTGATAAACTTGTCATTTAGAACATAGAATAATAGGGATGGAAGGGAC